AGGTCGCAAACAGACTAGGCGAAATTGTAGGTGAATTATGAAATGTATTTGATATTAACATGTAACAACATCGATCACATATAATAATGCAGTTTAATTCGGTCTAGTCTATTAGAGGTCAAAGGTCAATGTGAAAGAAGAAACAGTTGTTTTATGCGAAATAACAAATACTTATTTGTGGCTAAACAATAGGATCCATCTAAAAGGACGAGACAGAAAAACATTTGATTTTAGTGGATTATGAGAATGAATGATTAAAACCTGTAATTACTTGAAAAAATATGATTTTTAACATTTTACTGATAAAATCGTTTTAAATCGCTCGAAGTGCTTCGGAAATAGTAGAGATCACTCTGTTCGAAATATTGAGAGAGTTTTTGTAGGAAATTATAGTATATATTTTGTTGATGTTTAGTATTAAAATAACTGGTGAAATGTCTGATACTCTATTTAAATGAAGAGTTTAGTACCATCTATGAGTTTAGTTTATGCTATTTTAATCGAATTTTTGTGAAAGTTAATTTAATTGTTTTCGAATTTCTTATAACATTAATGATGATGCATCATCTCGTATTAATTTCGATTCTTCTATTTTCAAATCATCATTTAACTGAAACAAAAAGAAATCACATTAAATACCCAACCTGATTTATTTATTTTATACATTATTTAAATCTTAAGAGATAGATTTAGAAAATTCATCTTTTAAATGAAGTTTCATTCTTCGATCTTCTAGTTAAATAGTCGATGTAAAATCCTTAAAAACTTGAGGGTATGAGTGTATTTGTAATCTTGATACCTCACTTTTGAGGGTGTGGGTTTGAATCTTGTTCGATTATACTCATACCCACACCCACTCACATATACACATCTTATAATTACCGCTATCAAAATAATTATTCACTTTCATTTTGAAGCGTTAATATAAATTCTACTGATAACTGATAATACAAAAATATTTTCAATTGTCATTTCTTTTTCTTGTTCTTCTTCAATAAAGGAATAAGGCATTGACAATGTTTTTTTTTATTTTATTTTGATTTGGTAAATAATTGATAAGTAATAATGAAATTTGTTACAATATATTAACTCACACAAACAACAATTAAGGCAACATTGAATATTTAAGGGTAAAGGCAGTATAAATTTTAAATTTCATTGATGATTGATAAAGTATATTGCATTAATAACGAGCTGTTTAAGGATTAATAGATGCAATATTTTGATTCGTTGGATGAATACGGCTAGTATGCGTTCTTGCATGTTGATCATTGTTGTGTGGTGTTTTACATAGACATGAACGAGGAAATATCATTATAAATTCACGACGAAAACTTGGTGCAGTTAATGTATAAACAAAGAAAGACCACTGAAAATATATTTTTTTAGTTTGTAGATGAATAAAATTATAATAGAAATATTCTCACCCCATTGAAACCATAAGGAAAAACAGTTGCAAATACAATGGCTGAAAGTGTTTCAATAGCAATTCGATCTGGTGATTTACTTAATATTGGTATATTTTCTGTAAATTGTAAATAAAGAATAATACCAACAAATGGTATATTTGTCACCAAAAATAGAACTACTTGTGCAATCAGCATTATTACTAATTGATTGTCTTTACCATCCACACGAATCTATAATAGAAAAAAAAAAACAATCGAAATTGTATTTTCATTTTTCGAAGTCAGCAGTTCAAAGGCAGTTTTAGAAGTAGTATGATAGTTTCATTACTAAATAAATCAACTCATGAATATATTTCTTATTCTACAAGTAAGAATATTATCAACAGATTCAATGTTTTCTATAGATCTTTGGTAGTGATTTTATACTGCAAACAAAAAACGAATAAATCTAAATATAAGTACAAAACTCACCTTTTCACGTCCAACTCGTTTCGCATTCGCTTTTAATCGTTTCACTGTTAGCCAACCTAATATACTCATCGATAATGCTGGAAGTAAAGCATTGAATATCGGAATACCAATACTTTCATATATAAATCCAGCTTCTGTTGCTACCATACAGGGACGTATTGTTTGATGAGGTCTATATGTTATTAAAATATAAATTGATATACATGCACAGAAAAGTAAACCTAAAACTATCATTTTCTTCGCTATAATAGGTCGACAAAATTGTCGTTGACGAACTGATGTTGAACAAAGAAGAAAACGATCCAAACATGCTAAGACAAGAAAAGCTCGACTTGAATATTGTGAGAAATCTATCATAAAAAAACGAATTTTACAATAAATATCATTATAAGTAGCTGGGTCATTGTGGGTAAAGAATGTAAGCGTATCAGCTAACAGACCCCATGATAAACTAAAGAGATTAGCCCATGAATTTGCATGAAAATAAATTGCACATGAATTCTTTCGCATTGATGGTTGAAAAAATATAATAATATTTAATATACATCCAATCATTCCAAGAATAAAAAGACTTGGTCCTCCATATTGTAGTATTCCTGCACTAACAATATTTATTTTTACAGCAGTTGGATCGATTGTAGTTGTTGATATATTATTCATGTTGATAGACAATATTAAATAAAAACTAACAGGATATTTATATGCATATAATGTGAATTCATCTGTGTTTTATTTAACTGACATGATCATGAAATCGAGTACTTTATAAAAATAACAGTTTATTTTTATCTAAGCTCTTACATGCGTATGAATATGGGAGCTAATTTTTGTAGCATTGATGAAATGTCCCTTATCGTAATACAATTTTAATCATTTATTATTCAAATAGATTTTGATTAAACTAAAACACTTTTATACAAGTATATATGTAGTTGTTATCTCGTAGATCAATGTATTCTTTATTTGCTTTATATTTCTCTCAGTATTGTTGAAATGTGATGTGACAGGAATGTTCCGATTAATGAGAACATTCAAATAAAATTCCATGATTTTGAATGTGACAAGTAAAGCATCTGATTTAATCTTACATGTATATAAACTAAATTAGATCTAAATTTAAAAAAGAAACTATCAAGGAGAAAATCTTTTCGACGTTTTTTTTCTTTCTTATCATGTAGCATTAATAAATAACGAGTAATCTCAAACATGATATGATACCAGACAGCATTGTCTTGTTACAACATAATTATTATTTATTTATGATCAAAATATGATATAGAGAGTACTTCCTATAATGTTATTGTTTAGTTCTTAGACTATTGTAAAATTTTTACTTGATACTCAACTTTACACAACAGAAGTAGTTTGCAATACAAATATGCATTTCAGTAATCGTGACACACATTATTCGATATGTTGTAAGATGAACTCGTTTTGGATATATAATGGTCACGATTTAGCCTGATTGATGCGGTATTAAAGTAAAGATGTTTTTAGATTTTCTCTCAAATCCGATTTTTTTATCAAGAATATTCTTCGGATTAATTTTGTTTCATTACAGTTTATTTAAGTGTTCATCCTGCGAAAAATTTCTGATAGTATTTCAAAATATTATAGATTTTACCGTCTTCTAACACTAAAGAGAACCACGATAATAAAAATTTCCATATTCTTTTGAAGATGTTAACAATTCTCTTTTAACTTTTATAAGCTAAGATTTAGAGATACGAAAACTATGGGTGTAAACAAGAGTGGATATGGACTAAAGCATTAGCTATACCCACACCCACCCTCAAGAAGGGTGTGGGTGAGGATGTTTCTTGTTTTAGTTTAGACTCACATCCACATCCTCAAGGATGTTCAAAATAATTTTGTTTTATGGATTTAACAGAACATAAATGAATATTAAATGATGAAAGAAATTATATTATTAACGGTTATGATCAATTGAAAACGCTCAACAAAAAGCACAAGAGCTCAAAGAAATGCTCATTAAATTATTGCAAACATCTTGAGGGTGTGGATGTTGATGACTTAAGATGAGACCAACATTTAAACTCATACCCACACCAAACCCTCAAGATTTATATTTTTCAAACGATCATATTTACGAAGAATAGAGAATTTTTCACAATAAACATTCGCTTTTAAGACAGTAACCCTTTGATTTACGTAGTTTCAAGACTATGGATGTGGGTGCGAGTGAGGTTCATTCTTATATCTTCTCACTTACATCCGCATCTCGGGATTTAAATGGAATAATAATAACAATATATACGTGGATAATTACTTATCCATGATGGAATTATTATGATTGAGGATGTTGGTGTGGGTGAGGGCGCGAGTAATAGTCTAATGATCTTTACTTTTATTAAAGTTTTCATACTCACACCTTCACTTGTACATTTTGTCGCTGAAAAGAAAAAAAGAATCAGAAAAGAAACGAATGGTAACAAGTGTAATTGGTTACCTTGAAAGAAAGGTAACGAAAAAATCCAGTAAACAGTATTGTATGCGCATTCGCAAACGTCATCGAGAATTCGGTGGATGAAAATTTTGTTTTTATTAAATTCTTTATATTCAGTTGTTCTTAGTAAGTAATTCTTTCCAATCATTTCAGAAAGATGAAAATGCACGTCTGAATTTATAAACATAAAGCGACAGTATGAACCTGATATTAGAAATACGATCGAAAGAGATAAAAAGGGAAGCAACCATAGAAGATATTCAGATAAATTTGATATAGAAATGTGAGCAATCTTTGAATGTAACGCATTCTTTTTATTTGAAAATAAGAATCGACTATTCTTTTGTTCAAGATATTTTCTCGAACTCTTGAAGGCTGCATTCTTTCAAGGAGTACCTAAGCATGTCAGTTTCGATTGCGCGAAAAATATTCTAAGCTTGATCGATGGAGATTTTTCTGCAACTACACAAAAAAAAATAGATAATTCTATTGAACCCTTCAAAAAGGTGTTGTAGGTATCGATATGTTTCCAAATGCGTCAAGTTACTCAAAAAAGGTGGCTGGTAAAACCTACGAGAATTTAAAAGGATGTGAACGTGAGAATAGCGACGAATCTCCCCCATAATAGAAGCCTTGTTTGATGAGCCCTGATGACTTTTAAAAACCCCATTACGAAATCATTTGGTTTAACGAAAAACCTACGTTTCCGAATTTTGTTAAAACATCTTTTGCACTTTACAGAACTTAACAAAGAGCTTTGCGGAATATGATTTAGTTGCCGTGCTCGCACTCTAGTTCTTTTAAGGAATCGATGAAAGATGCTTCCCAGCAACATTTGCTCTTAAAGCCTAGATTAAGCCGAAGCCGAAACTGACTCCTTGTCTTCCCTCGCCCAAACCTGCATCCGCAACCACGTCTATGCCGTCACCTTCAACTATTCGGGAAGCAAGTGTTCGGGGAACACCATTCGTGTTACCAGTAAAACTACTCTTTTTTGTTAAGTATAGAAGCAAACACGACTCCGATTGTTACGTTTTATTTAGTTAACAGTAAAACGCACGACAGCAAAAATACAAAAGAGTGAGAAACAATCAGAACAAATGTTAATACGAATTATCGTCTTGTATGTGATAGTCACTCTTGGTAAGTTACATTAGCAATTAAAATACATATAATGTTATTCATTTCACTCGGTAGAAGTTCAATTAGGTGAAACTTTACGGTGCTATTCGTGTAGCAATGATCATGAATGCAGCCGACGACTCCCCCCAGCGATTATTAGTGAGATGCCACAATCAACATGAATTTTTCATTTTTTTGATTATCATATCTTGATTTTAGTGGGAGCTTGGGCGCCGATTCCGAGCGCTTCCATCACACCGACGCCGTTACCGGCAAGCGTTAAAGTTGTTTACTCTGAAGGAGATGATACTTTGTTTTCATGTTCGGTTCGTATAGTTATAGAGCAGTCGTAAATGTACTTATCATTATTTTTCCATTATATATAGATAAAAGTAACGTCAGAAGGCTGGACAATACGAGCTTTAGTACCCGCATACGAATGTCAAAGTTCACCATATGAGTTTTGTTGCAACGAAGTGTATTGTAATCATCTACCATCTCCACCATTACCTGCATTAACCGCTCTTAAATGTACTGTTTCTAAATGTTCCAAATCCAGAGAAACGTGTATCCCGAAACTTACCACCATCAGTAGCGCTACTGAATCTTGCTCGGTTAGTAATCGGATATGTTGGTTAGGGGCAGCATTAACTGATTTTGTAGTAAGACAGACTCATTTGTATTGATGATGAATATCAAACATGCAGAATGTTTAGAAAGCTTAAAATTCGCGATGCTCCACAATACTGATTCGTTATCATTTGATCATGTTGTAGAAGAAAAACTAGCACTTACTTCCATTTTTTAAGTTTCATTGTTACAGACAGTTTTTTCAAAATTCTATGAGCGCTTTCATCTAACAGGTGTTCATTTTATTGTAGTTTCTGTTTGAGCCAGAAGTGATCTTTTAGTTCCTAGAAAATAGTTTATTGTTGAACAATTCAATCGGATAGTTGGTTTTAATCGAAAGATATCGGTAAAACTCGTCTGAATATAGACCATCTAAAATCCTGATACATATTAAAATCGAAAATTGTCGCATATTTTCATATAGGCAAGATTCGGAGAAGATGGCTACAGATATTATAAAAAAGGCTGTCAACCAACCATTTCAGGCATAGATCAGGCATATCCATGGAAGAAGACAGAGCCTATGCATTGCTGTAACTCTCCTGAATGTAATATAGAACCTGAAGCAAATGCGTTTAAAGGTATAGCTATTCAATGCTACACATGTGACTCGCGTATAACCGGTTTGGAGGGATGTATGTTATTCGATGAATCGAGTCCACATGTTTACAAAGCAGGATCATCCAGCCGTGAAGAATCGTGTGCTGTAAGTAGCTTAACACCTAACATGTTGTTCGATTGAAAATTAATGTTTATAAGACGATCATCGGTCTCACTGGACGAGATTCGGTTACTGGCACTATTTATCCAGACTTCGCCATACGTACATTCATTCCAAAATGTGTCAATCAAAATTGGGGTACTGTTTCTTATGGTGGTGCTACTTTCTGGGGCCGTATCGAATGTTGCGCAAGCCATTTATGCAATAAAGAAAGTAATAAGAAAAAGTTGTCACCAAATGTTCGTCTAAGCATTGTGATATATTATGACGACACGGCAAGGCAGAAAGATAAATCTATTTTTAGTACTTTTTAACATGAGAGAAGATTCAGTACACTACAGTTATCCCATTTTGTTTAAGAATGCTTTTCTTAAGATATAGATATTCCAAAACGTCGTGGGAAACTTTCAAAGATCCGCTTTTTTACCATTGGCATTATCATTACTGGTTTACTCATTGGCATCGGAATAATCGTCGGCATTATTTATCGATCTTGTCAGAAAAAGAGTAAGGCTATGTATATGTCAGTTACTACAAGCAAACCAGACGATGGATTTGAATTACGTCCACGAACACTTAGAACGGAGCCGTCAGAACGAGCTACTGCTGGTGATTATCCGGAAATGGGTGCTGCTCCGTGATCGTCATTATAATTAAACCTACATACAAAACTTTTCTTCTTCATTTTATGTTCAATATTGACTAAACTTTGTAACTCTATTTTCAAATCATTTTTGAACTGCATATGTATTGTTAGTAAAAATTCTCGATAAAACAGAAAAAGGGGTGTCGGTGAGTTTGGATGCGAGTAAAAATAAGATAAATCCGCACTGACACCGACCCATACCCATCCCACTCTAAATGCACTTATGTTCTTTTCAATTATGCACAATTCACGAGCACTTCCAACATGGTTATGTCATGATTGATCAGTAAATATAGCATAAATCAATCATTACGACGTTTTTATTCATACTTTGAAACGACTATCATATTTAAGAAATAAGAAAAGAGGAAATACATTAACTTAGACTAATCAATAATCTTTATTTCATAAATATATCATTGAATATAAAAATGATGTGAATTGTATATGTCCACTATTGAATGTAGTGACATCTTTTCCGAGTTTTTCAATTTGTTTATATGAGCCAATGTAATCTCTCTCATGAAGCAGTTTAATATGGATCTATTCGAAATTTTGTAATTTTATAGCTAGAACTGAGATCAGATCGTTTGGATTATAGCATTGATTTGATCTTGTTTCATTAGAATTATTTTTTATTATGACTAATTCTCAAAATGACAATGAATTTATAGAAACTTATCAAACACAAGTAAAAGAATATAAGAATAATAAAAATAAAATGATTTTATTAATTTTTAGCTAAAAGTTGTTGAAGATGCTATACTTCGACAAGAAGAAGAAGAAGGTATTGCAAGTGCAGAATTAAGACAATTACGTTCAGATCTTCGAGAAGCTTTATCTTTGTTTAATACAGTTAATAGTAATAATGGTAGGATTATTCTTCTTAGTTTTATATCATAAATATATATTATATATTTAGATGACTCAGTAATTATACTTGATGATTCTGAACCAACGCCATGTGTCACTCTTTCATCCGAATCTGATAGTAGTGACGATGAAGACGAAACCGATGAAGAAATAGAAAGTTCTATTGTTAAAGACATTGCTGGTTCGTTACTAATTCGATATTTTTTTGTTCATAACTAACTTCATTTTTATTTTCAGGTACCAACTGTAGTGTAAAAATTAATTGTCCCGTCAGTGGTTTACAACAACATAATGCTGTTGTACTAACTATGGAATCTATAGCAGATAATACAGTAGATATTTCTATATTTCTTTTAAATAATATTTCTACGAAGAAATTTTAGGTTCGAGTTTTGTTTTGTCAACCTACACGTCTTGATTTTAAACCATGTCCACATTTTCTTAATGATTCATGTCGTTTTGGTGATACTTGCAAGTATGAATAAAAACATAGTTTATCTTTTTTATTCATATTTTATCTTTCAGATTTTCTCATGGTTTTGTTATTTCTGTTAATGATCTTCTTGAATATGCTGAACCAAATTATGAGTATGATAAATCATTTTTTATATTGTATAATCGCATTATATGTATTTAAAGGACTCTTGCTGTTGGTCAAAAAGTTTTATGTAAACAAGGCACTGATGATTTATGGAAACTAGGAGCTATTGAAAGTGTTGAAAATGATAATCATGTTTGTGTTGTACGTTTTACTCATTTTAATGCTTTGGAAGCTATACCATTTGAATCGATTATTCCTACAAGTAAAATACTATGATACAATATTTAAATATAAATCATTTATTTTTTGTTATAGATAGTTTTCAACAGATTGAAGCAAATAGTGAAGATGAAAATGATGATGATGATGTTTCAAATGCGATTCAAGATATTCCAAGTTCATCGACTGATCAACCAAGATTAGGAAATTTAGGAGTTTGGGAAAAACATACGAGAGTAAGCAATCTTTATATTTATCAAGAGTTCATATTCAAATATTTTTTAGGGAATCGGTTCTAAATTACTTGCAAAAATGGGTTATAAAGCTGGCCAAGGTCTTGGAGTACGAAATCAAGGATTAGTCAATCCAATAGAAGCTCGAGTTTTACCAAAAGGTAATTAATAAATTTTGTTTTTATATTGTTTAATCTTTAATTCTTTTAGGAAGATCTTTGGATGCTGTATTGGAATTAAAAAAGAAGAATAGATTACCAGATGCATTTAAAATAAAAAAACATAAGAAAAAATCAACAATTGAAAAAGAAAAAAAATTACCTGAACAAAAAGATGTTTTTACATTTCTCGATAAAATTTTTACTTCAGAAATGAATTCAAGTTTGTTATTTTCAGTTAGATTTATTTCAAAATAAATTATTTTGTTTAGCTAATCAAGACTCAACACCATCACCGCTAGATCGATTTAAAGATAATAAAACAACTGTAAATGAAACATCTTTGCTTTTACATACACAAGTATAATTTTCTTTCTTTCGTTAAAATATTATTCAATAATTTCGTTTCGTTTTAGATTGGTCGACGTAATGATGAAATTCGAGTACTAGAACGTGAAATCCATCAATTAGAAGAACGATTAAAATATCATGAGCTTCGGTAAATTAGTTTATTTAATTTTTAATTCAAAAATTTCGATTTATTTTCTTAGTGGTGCGTCTCCAATTACATTAAATATTAAACAACGTTTATCAACGAAAAAAATTCAATATAATAAATTAAAACATATTGAAAATGATCTTCAATCTAAACGTGAACAAATTCGAACAAAAAAATTAGATCTTTTTTAAAATAAATAATTTTTTGTGTATATGTATATACTATATTTTTTGTTTTCTTAAATTTCAGATTTTTATCTTAAGCATAAAAAATGCCATCAGTTAGTCAATCTCGTACGAATACACGTGCGGAAGAAGTAGCAAAAAAACTTAAAGGAATTGAACGGTAGTTTTTTTTCTTCTTTTTGAGTTTTTAAAATTTTCATAATAAATATTAATTAGATACAATCCAAATTGTCGTCCAATGCTTGAAGAATATGTTCAATATCAAATTGATAATCATTTTTATGATTTTGATGCTAATATGGCTTTATTGAAAATGTACCAATTTGATCCAAGTAATTTTCAAGGTGATAAGGTTGCAGATATTCTTCTTTTGGCATTAACTAATTTACCAAAACCGGATTTTTTACTCTGCAAATATTTACTTGATGCACAAAAAGTATTTAGATCAAAAAAACAAAACATTTTTATTGATTTATTTTTTCCGTAATAGTGTCAAGAAAATTCACGCGTTGTAGAAGCTTTACATTTCTCGGAATTACTTGAATCATGTCGATTTCAAGAATTTTGGGTAAGTTGTGAACAATTAGGGATGGGTAGGTGTGGGTAAAAATAGTGAGTAAGAGTGAAGAGGATAGTACCCACACACTAGAGCCCGTCGGGTCCGATTCGGATGGAAAGAAATATATTATCAACATAATATGTTTTTGAATTTCTTTAAATTTTTATTCATTTCATTCAAAAACTGTTTAGCTCATGGTATACTACTCGTTGAACATGAGAATAAGAAAAATAAAATTGTATTTTCGGATTATGTATCAGATTTCAAGTAGAAAAAGTTAGTGAGAGCTCTAAAAGTACAGTTCGAGTTCAGACTACTGCTCGTCGAAATCGGGTCGGGTTCGGGTCTAAAAAAATTTTATTGGGCGGGTCCGGGTCCAAAAAAACGTGGATCCGACGGGCTCTACCCACACCCCTCAAGATTCAATATATAGTTCTATTATTTTGTAGGAACAATTGGAACGTGCTTCAGTAAAAATTCCAGGTTTTGAAGATCGTATCCGAGAATGTTTGTATAATTTATTCTTTGTTTAACTCATTTCCTGTTTTGAAAAATTTTTTAGTCATCTGTCAAACAATAAATCGAACATATCAAACAATAAGTCGTCAAGAATTACAATTGGCATTAGGTCGTCTTACAAGTAATTATTGAAAGAAAATAATTTTTAATATTTCGTTTTTTTTTCTCTTTCTTAAGCAAATGAATTTGAAGGATTAATTAAAACTCGTGGTTGGAAAATACTTCCTGATGATGCTACCTATATCTGGATTGTTAATCATGAAGAAAATATTAAATCCCGAAATATCGTTGAAAAGATTAAATTTGAACGTAAGTTTTCTTTTGTTTTCGCAAAAGAAAAACAAAATTTATTTTTTTTCTTTTAGATGTTGCACCAGTGATGAATATTGTCTAAATGTGCTCATGAGTTCTATATTTTTTTCTCTTTTATTAAAATAAAGAAAAGAAGAAAAAAGAGAATATATATTTATTTAATCATTCGTAATCGTAGAGCTTGAATGAAATAACGTAAATGATGTGATAAACGAGCTCGAATGAAAATATTCTGTTGATGATGAAGAAAATTTGGTATTGCCACTGAATATGAATGTAAACATAGCGGAATTGTACGAACTTTTGCTTGACGTACACCTAATTTTTTTAATGTTGCAAATTGTAATTTCTAAATAATGAAAATGAATTTAGTTAGAGAAAAAAAAGATTAAATCTTACTTGAGGTGCTAATTTAGCATAATGAGAATATTTATGGTCACCTAATATAGGTGTGCCAAGTGCATGCGCTAAATGAGTACGTATTTGATGTTTAACACCTGAAATAAAGTTCGATGATTAAAATATTTCAAATAAAAATTTACCTGTTATTGGTTGACATTCTACTAATGATACACCATAATTCGAATCAATGACACGATATTTTGTTATCGCTTTTGAACTATCAATATGATCTCGTTTAGATTTCGGCATAACTAATTTTGTTAAATCAGTATAGGCAGGTGAAAGCATCATTTTATATGTACCACAAACATTTCTTTCAATAATAGGTATATTTATTTCACCTATTGATATAAAATTGAAATTATTCTACATGATTAATTTCAATTTTTGTTACCCTCAGATAGTTGAGGTATTCCACGAACAATAGTTAAATATTGTTTAGTAATTTTATGTTCTTGCATAAGGTCACGTAATCGTTTTTCAGCTTCCGGTGTACTAAAATAGAATAAAAATGAAAAGAATTTTGATGAATTATGATTTTTCTTACTAAGCCATAAGTAAAAGTCCAGTTGATTGTTTATCAAGTCGATGTAATAAATGAAGTTGTTTTATATCCGGTCGATTTAAACGTTCAATCATTTGTGGTATAAAATGAGCTGTAAATATAGATATTTATCATTTTATATATTCGATCCATAGCTGACAAGTCTTACCAATTGATATTTGAACACCTGGCCC